CCCCCACTCTCTCTCTCTCTCTCTTTCCTCTCTGTTTTCCATTCAGAACTGAATTGACCTGGTGCACAGTTCCGGCGTCACCGCAAGGGTCACGGTGGGGCTGGTGTTGTGCCTTTCGGAAGCAGGAAACAAACTGCTCTGTGGTCTTCGATGTGAGCAAAGACATTGAAGGGGGGGGGGGGGCTTTTGTTACACTTTGCTTAACCCAGTTTCGAGCTCTGTATGTGTCACGGAAGTCCCAGTTTTCCTTGCTCCTCATTCTAGATTACCCAACCATCGTGGTGTAGTCGTGTGGTCTTTTACCGTTTCTGCACAAGACGTGAGTTGATCATCAATTCCTGACAATGTTTTAGCTTCTCCATTTTTTTTGTCTGTTGGGGCATATCATACTCATGGGGCAGAGTTGAAATTTTCACCTTTCAAAATGCTTTATTCGGTATCGATTTGGGGAAAGATTGGTGTACGATATTTATAACAGCTTCCTTGTGGAAATGGAACCAATAAGCCATGTCAGCCTGTAATAAAGGATGAGAAAAGAAAGAGTAATCCTATGTACACTGAGACGGACACGACCCGATCTTTTGCCGGAAGGAAGAAAATTGGTCGGGTTGTTTCTGTCTTGTGGGCCCACCAGTTCGGACAAGGTGCGTCTAGTCTGTTGGCCTACTGGCCGTCTTATCCCACACACTCAGTCCCAAGGCTGTGTCCTCGGTACTTTGCTATAAATAGTTGAGGTCAATGAACCCAAGGCGGGAATAACAAATGAATGGGGTTTTAAAGGAAAATTGGAAGAATTGTTAATATGCATTTAAACCAGGTGGTTTGCGCGTTGACTTTGCTAATTTTGAGGCGCTGATTACGAATATGACTTAAGAATTTTAATCCGAACTCAAAATTGGAAGTTTCTTTAGCTCCGGCTGGGCCCGTGGCTCACAAGTCACGACCCGGCCCGGCTAAAATTGAGCAAGCGGCTTTCCAAACGACACGCCTTTTGCCGGGGCGTGTCGTGTCGTGTCTGTTGACACAGCCAAACGGACATTTCACTGATTTCTTGTACTCTATTTCAACTACCGACTTTCTGAGAGACGGACGTAATCGAGTCGGTTGGTATCCGTCGCAGTGGACACGGCCCTAAAAAAGTTATAGCACCAAAAAAAAACTCTCGACAGGCAAGATTTTTTTGATATTTTACATATCAAAGAAATAACACGAAAACATGCAATTGCTGAAAAGATAGTTTCAATAAAATAAAATGAGGCCAATCCTGAAAAATAGGAACTTGTCAATGACTACCCAAATGAGAATACTGGGAGGCAATGTGTGGTCAACCCTTTCTTAACGTTTGTTAATGTTGGACAATCACCAGAGACAGTGAAAATAAAACAGAAGCAATAGCAATGAGGTTAGGTAGGAGAATGTTGAAAATTTCTCGGAAGAAAGTGAAACCAAACTAGGCATTTCTTGAAGACCCCTACGTTGGCGCTCAGTAATAAAAACAATAAAGAGAAGACAAATGCAGTTTTTGAGACACCCAGATATACACTCAGACCTGAAACATCTCGCTCTCACAAGCAAAATAGAAGACAAACGAGGCAGAAACGACTCAGAGCAACCTACTAAGAGGGCGTAAATAGCTAAATAGATGGGTGGCAGGGAAAGATCAGGATAATGTAGCTTTTTTCAGAGCGTCCGAGCAAAGGAATGAGTGGAGAACCGTAATCGCCGATGTCTGTCGCAGATCTGGCACTTGATGGTGATGATATCGCAGAGAGGAGGTGGGGTTGTTTTTTGGGGTTGGGGGG